CACCTGTATGGATCACGAAAACTGCACAACACGTGTTAAACATGTGCCCAATTTGGACACCCGAATTTGTGGACTAAAGCCCACTAACAGCAAGATGGATCCACCCATACCTTGACAATCTGCAACACTTTGACATCGACCAAATTGAAGTATCATTCCACAAATTGAAACCCACATTTTCCTAGCTCCAAAATCCGAAGTGTGCACCATCAACACACCTACCCGCAAAATCCCAACATGAGTGCAAGGCGTGCTCATGCCATTGCGCATGTCAACCTTAAAAGGGCTGACATGTTACTTCAACCTTCTTGAAAGATCCTAGATGCATATGTAATGATTACTTCCGATGGAACACTTGTTTAGTAGAATCCCCTCATTAGGCAAAAGGTCAATAGATGAAAAGTCTACCTCTTGAGTTCATAAACACTTTCCCCATAACTTCGGCAATGTCAAAGCTTATTGTAGTTTACAACTTAATTGAATTCGAATTTTCAACAAATCGTACTATGAAGGGAGAAAACTTTAGTACTTTGGAAATGATACTTTACGGAAGAAGAGAGGTGATTATCGTACAAGAATAGAGAATATTACGAACAAAAATGGCAATACAATATTACGAACCCTCTGGCTACGAACGTATAAATTTTACAAGTTGCTTCTGCCCCTCCGCTCTAGTTTACGCACAGTATAATAGCTCCAACATTATAGGACTAATCTAGCATATACATGTTCTATATTTAAAGTACAAAAATTCTTTGCTGGTTATACTTTGTTTAGCTTCCTCTCCTATATATAGATAATACACTTGCACTGAAAAAAAAAAAAGACAAAAAAATATTTTGTCTTCAACAAAATTACTCTGTTTTTTGGGCTCCAGGCCTCCTCCTGTGACTATTTCCTTGATACCGTGTTCTCTTGGCAGCATGTGATAATCTTCGGATAAACTCCTTCACGTGATTATATATGCTGCAACTCAACGTTTTGGAAAAAAAAGCACAGTTAGATGAACATTTTTGGTTCCCAAGTAAAAATGCACACGAAGGGATTCTTCAAAACCTAAAGGATTATCCTTGAAGAGAAGAAAAAATGACAGACTTGAAGAATCTGTGTGACGACCTTTCTCTTAACTCCCCTCACTTCCCAAAAAATAAAAAAGAAAAAGAAAATGACAAAAAGGATTACGTAAGTAGTTTATGACTTTTAGTGTAGGAATGTCCTTAAACCTTGGCTCATGTGAATGATAGCCGATTCTAATGATTCATTCACTAAACTCCTACAATCGACCAATTTGATTGATTTATTCCTGAATGACTACATCATCTCAACGTATAGAGAGCAAATATTATACTTTTTATTGGACTCAATTTACCCTTCCAAAAGAGAAGGGGCATATTTATTTACATGATATCTGCAGGCAGCTTCCAGACAAACACTGCAATGATGATCAGAGACTCAGAGCAGAGAAGTCATTGACCACATGTTGCTTAATGTTGTGCTGTTCATCATTTGATTTGGTCATGATTGAGAAGGAGAAGAAGAATAAACCTCAACAATTGAACATTTCACAAGGATCAAACATATTTAGCTGTTTAAAAGAAGAAAAATGATTGAAGTACAGATTTTTTTTACCTGAACTTTACCAGCAATTTGAATTCTCACTCACATAGAATGGACCCCATGTATAAAATAATGAAAACAAAAAAGTTTCCCCCCAATTGTTGTGTCTATTCTGTAAGTATAGGAATTAAATTCCTGTACTTATAGAAAAGCTCTTAAAAGAATCATCCCCAAATCAAATGATGAACAGCACAACATTAAGCAACATGTGGTCAAAGACTTCAACATAGCTAAGGTTCTGCAGTCGTTTAAAGAGGAAGGCTTGAAATTGTTGAAGAAATGCTATCAATTTCTACTTGGAAATTGCCAGGGGAAGGGGGAACGAAATGAAGAAAGATTAGTGTGCGTGCGTGCATGCGTGAGGGATGAGGAGATTTATAATCAAACCATTATTTCATTTCCAGGAATGCAGGCCGTTGTATTCATAGAGTGCATTCAATTACTGTGAAAGTGAATCAAGAAAATAGCCCATGACAAATTTTGTGGATGATTATAGAGTTGATTTAGATTATCATGATGTTAAAATTATTTTTGTTGTTCGAGTAATGGCGTGTTGTGAAGCTTATATTATTCTTTATCAAAGATAACTGAAATCACTGGAGAAAAACCCGAAGCCTGAATCCTACCTTAGACGGTGCCTGTTGCAGGCAGTGAAAAAGGCCACAAAACCATTGAGAATGCTTCGTAGAGCGCGGAAAACCTAAAACAAAAGAAAACATGTGCATGAAAATCATACATGATATTGTAGTTGGCAGATAAAGTTTTAAAATTACCAACCTGGGAAAAAAGGTCATTCCAAAGAGAACGCCACATTGAAACCTCGTATGAACTCACTGTTGACTCAACACTTGAAGTGAACTGAAAGACACCGCTCACAAACATACAAATATCTCCAACTAAATCATATGTGGAACTAAATATGAAAGCCACAAGGTTACACAATCCAAGGACCAATCGGATCGGAGCATAGAGTATTTCCCAGAGAATCCAGAATATAGGGTATATGATGGATGTTGCTGCAACCCAACACAATATGTGAAATAAATTATGAATTCCAGATTGCAGTTTATTTTAGATTTGATAACATGGATCTTTAAACTTACCAACACTCCACAATAGTGAGAGAATATACCACAATGGAAGTAGTAGAATCTCGAAAAAAGTTCCCATTACTATGCAAGAAGACTCCACTATAATCCAAATTACTGACAAGAAACTCTCTACAAGTTGTATGCACATACTCCAAACAGGAAGGAAGAAATCTAATAACTCCAAAAGAGGTCCTACAATTGGCTGTGGAAATATGGAAAGAAATGACCGCATTGTTCGTGCCATCATAAGAAACCACTGGACGGCCTTCTGAAAATTATGCAGAAACAACATAGTTCCCAAATATTTAATTCTTGAAATCATTTCCCAGGTTTCTATCCAATCAAAAAGGGGTCCACATAAACCAGAAGCAGTTGCCTTAAGAACGGGTACATTTTTGTACAAGTCATAAAATCCAATGAGGACAGTGACAACTGAAATAAGCACATAAAAAGTTCTTGCCAAAGGGCACATCCATGGACGATAAAAATGGCAAAATACTGGGTAAGACTGAAGGAAAATCACCCAAGATGGAAGCCCAGATTCAAGTAGAGTGAGTACCCGCAAGTCAGACATAATTATTTCCTTCAATTTAAAAGGAAGGTCTCGATCATTGAACCGAAGTAATAATAGAACATCCCTGTAATGTGTAGCTTCAACTATGTCCTCGCAATCACTTACACAAGAGGTCGGATAATGTTCTGGCGTTTGATCACTTTCAGAGTCTGCTTCTTCAGAATAAATGTCGAGGTCAACATCACTATCAATACACTTCATAACTTTCCTTCTCTTACAAGGGGCGTCAGGGGGAGGTGGTGTATGCAGTCCAATTCTATTTTCCACGTTTTCTGAGTATACAGCGCAACCACTGGGACAGATAGGAGAATCATCCCCGCTACACACATCACCACTAACAGAGTCATCATTATCCACATTGTTCATCATCGGAAAATTATCTTGAGCATCATGGAAAATCTCCCCTGCAACCATCTCAAATTCAGCATAACATAATCAAAAATTTGCACCATTATTCCTGGACCAAGGCAATGCATACAATATCCAAAATTCCAAACGCAATCTAGCTCTCTGGATTTTAAAAGTATACCATGTTGATAGGCAATCCACCACCAATGAACACCAACAAAGAGAAGTGTGTGTGGGGGGAAGGGAACTTAATTCCGTAGGTAAGTTAACTACACGCCAATACATCCCTTGATAAACATTCCCCAATGGAAGCAGAAATGGAGCTCCCTGTATCTGACAGTTATCCATAAATATCGCCGACGTTGATGCAAAGGTCTAGTATCATATTGCTTCTAAGATGCTTCATAATATATGCACATTATGTTCAAGAAATATCAGGGTCTAACAAGTAAGCCATCAAACTCGTGATAGAAGGAAAGAATGTAAACATACAGAAGCAAATGGAGAGTTATTTAGCAACATGTCCATTTAATTAGACATCATACATCCCAACTACCTCACTAAATCCATGATATATCAATTTTTAAGAAAACAATTACAATGCACAGTGGACACTACCCTCATAACACATACAACAGAAAATGCCGAATCTCGTTCAAAAATGAAAAAAATAAAATAAAAATGCCAGTGATCCACTGGTTGCGAAGGAGCACTACCCTGCAGCATTACCTAAATAAGATACTGTGGAATTTGTTGTTACAAAATGAGTGCTTCAAGTCCCATCAATATTAAATCACACGTTAGAAAGAATACCAGTTTCTCTAGTGTCCAAATAATCTTTCACAAAAGTCTGCTCATTTGGTGTCCCAGGGAACCATGAAGACATGCATCTCACAGCTTGCTCTATACTATCGAATTCCCATCTTCTCATGAATTTAGCTTCTATTGCCAGTGATGTATCAGTCTGCACATGGCATGAAGTTATTTCAAAACTCAGAATTTGTGTTGTAGAGTGCGAAGGACAACACAAAATTGAACGGTGTGACAAGTAGCCACCTGAAGCTCATTAAAATAGTTGATGCCACGCACATTACACCATGCGACCTCGAATACAATAAAGCCATACAAGGTTCTATTCAACTTGCTATTGAAAATCAAAGAGTTCCTAAGCTTCTTTACAGGAAGCAAAGACCTCTTCCGGGATAACATTGCAGCATCAATCAATGATAACCACATTTTGAACTTCTTCGATTTGCCTGAATTTAATTTGGAAGAAGCAGGTAACTCTGAAAATTCACCTGTCACCTTTCTCTCCTTGTTCCCTCTAGAGTTTGCAAAGGGGGACATCCTAGACTTTTACATTTTCCAGAACAGGTAATTTTAAATATTTTGTTAGCATTAACATTACAAAGATATACACTCTTGCTAACTAGACTGCAACAGATGTTTCCAGCTACCTTAGTGACCATCAATTGCCAAAAATGCGTAGGCTTGGAACCAAGATCTTTCAACCATGGCCGATTGTCCACCAAGATATAGAGTTTTCTACTTTCAGGGGCCAGAAATAGATTAAGATGTGAAAGATAGGACTGCAAATCCCTGTAAGACATGTTACAATAAGCTAGATAATCACATTAAGAATGGAAAATATTACGACCATTTACTCCAAGTCCAAATCAAAGAAATATTTGACATCAAAATACTAGTCGAACATAAACAGATACAAAAAGGTTTATCAACATATATTGACAATTCCATCCATCATGAAATCTGTTGATGAATAAGCAAAGGTGCGAGGTAATGGATATCTAATCCTCGAAATGAAAAAACAAACACTACATATAGGACTATGGATCACAACAGAGGCTCAATTTGACGTTAGTAAAAACAGTTTAAAACTGAATTAAACATTGTAGCCTCCTTGAGTTTGTCGACCTCCAGTTCAGCAAAAACTTGTACCAAAGTGTAGGTGTTGAACATCAGCAACAATTTCCGCACTTATAGATGCTTATCCAAGCCATGATAGCTTAAGTAGACAAGATTTTCACTTTCCCACGAAACCACCACTACACATGGAACCTCACATGCACTGTTTAACACTGTTAATCAATCTCTTCATCCACAGTTGAATTCTCCCATTTCTATTGGCAAGGTCTTTTAGACTAGACTTCAAAAGTGAATAGCATAATTAAATTATAGTTTTTAACCTGGTAGTAAAGATCCATTGTACTTCTAATAAAAATAAATATGATAAGTAACCATAAAGGGAGTCCTAGAATTGACAAAAAGAACTGCATAGAACTCCCATGCAAAGTTACCTCAAAAAGAACAGCAGTTACCCTCCAAAAGATAAAGAGGAGACACGAGATACTGATCTTGAAAACAAGAAGGCACATAACAGGACCATAAATCTTCATCGTTGCTAATTGGAACGTAAAAGAGGTAATGAACCTAGAACACACATCCTTCCTGCATCTCTATTTATATGCTCTTTTCACTAAGAGGCAGGACGAAGTCATAAGTAACTGAAAACTGGTATTTGGTAAAAAATTGTGCTTCAGGATGTCCAGCAGGAAGGAGAAAAAAAAATGCTCTCCACATCCTTTTTTTTTTTTCTCATGCAGTTAATGATAGTAACATATATAACTACATTTATCATTTAGCCCAGTTTGGTGGCCATTTTTTTTGGAAAAAACATTGTTTTAAATAGTGATTTTTTGGAGAATGTGTAGTTAAACAGTAGGGAAAAGTTTTGGGATTACGTGTAGAATATTTGAATGTGAATGTATTGTTGAAAATGAATATGTAGAAAAAAAGAATCTTAAAGAATAAGAAGACAAACATTGGCTTAGTTTTAAGGTTCACTAAACTGTATGATGTTCAGTTATGCAAATTCATTAAAAGAGACTTCAAATTCATCTGTGATTTTTATTTCTCTCATGGGACAGAGAGGGAGAGAAGCAATGTTAAACTACCTGATTATAACATGACAGAGAGAGAAAGAAAGAAAAAGTGAATGTGAAGTTTTCTAGTTGCAGTACCAAATCCAACAAAGTCTCAATTTTACATATTTGCAAGAAGACTCCATAGCTGCACTTCCAGGAGTTAAGGAAATAAAAATAAATAAAAAATTATTTACTCCCTCAGTTACGTGTAATTAAGTTATTAATTGTTTATATACTGTATTTAAGTTAGAATTAATAATTCATTGCTCACCTTCCAACCAACAAAATACAACTAAGAACTGCCTTATGTGATCATTTAATCAGTCATAATTTCCACCACGACAACATAATTGGTTCAAACTACCTATGTAAACCAATAAAATAACAATAATACTAAGAATACAATCACATAATTACACATTACTTCCAGTAAATTTAAGTTTTTGTCTGACAGAATTATAAATTGCATGCACAAGACGGCAATAAACATTTTCACATATGCATCTGCTACAAAATAAAATAAAATAAAATTGTAAATAAAATCAAGCAATAATAATTCAAATGTATTCATATATATAATCGACTACGCTTGGGCAACAGAGAAAAAGAAATAGTGAGTGTAATTTACCCAATTTGTAAACTTGTCAAGGGAAATACGCAACGGCCATCTTCACCGTTCCCCATCATGCGTAAAATTTACAGTTAAATCCTCGCTTCTCCCTCAATTTTACATCAACCAAAACTGTTCCATCAAAAGAATCATTCAATAATTTACATACGAAAACACGAATCAAGTAATATAATAAGAAAAATTGATACCTGAGGAGATCATCAACGGAATTGGAGAAATGAAAAGGAGAGAGACCACCGCCGAACTTCATTTAACAGAAACAAAATCAAAAAAATGAAGAAACTGCTTCCACGACAAGACAATGGGCGAGATTAATTGAGGGAGAGATCAACAGAAAAGAACAACACTCGACACGCGGATCAAAAAACAGGTAGAAATATTTAAAGACGTTTATTTAAGATTATGAATGTGAAATATTATAATTATTAGATGAATGTGGAAGGAAATGGTTGCCTGTGTTGAGAGGGCAAATGTCGTGGCATGGTTCAGGGACACGTGGTCAAGATAACTATTCTAAATTCTAAGAATAATGCTACTTGCAGTCGCACACTACAACAATTTGTCCTATGTGGCACACACATGTCAAGAGTGTATTCGATGCATTAAATGTAATCAAAAACTACCACATTAATGTATCAAATAACTACATGTTATGTGTGTGCCACATAAGACGACTACTGCTGTGAGCGACTGCAAGTAGCATTACTCAACTTCTAAATAATAAAACATCGCGTGGCAAGTTAACGCCCTCGTTTGATGCCCTTTATATTGTTAAAAAACCAGCATTTTGAATAGTAATAATTTTAAAGAGAATTTATGATTAAAAATCGAGAAAAAATTTTAAATTTATATATAAAATATTTTATTATGTAAATGTGTTATTGAAAATAAGTATATGAAAAAAAAAATTCCAAATAATGAATGTGAAATATCGGCTAAAATTGTGCCAAACAAAATATGATTATTCCTTCATTTACACCGCTTTTGAAGAAAAAGTGGTATTTTCTTGGACGCGATTTTATTAATTGGACTTATTTCATGTTGTCAACTTGCAACATGGAATTTTTCGTTAACAATTGAAATCTTGTTCTCAACTAATGGTAGATAAGTAATCTATAATATATTGAATATTGCATCAAATGAGAATTATTTTTTGGTAATTCTAACTCTACTATAATTCAATTATTTCAATAATATCTTACTTTTCGTTTTTTAATATGTATTTAACATTCAATTATGTATTTAACTATTTATGTGCATGTATAATAATTGACATTTATTTTCAGAAACTTGTATTTCTCTCGTATTTAGTTCAAAATGATGCAAATTAATTCTTTAAGTTCATATACACCTTTTATGTTTTAAGGCCCATTCAATTACTCTAGAAGTAAATAAATTATTCGAATTCATGTACACTTATTTATTTAATCTATGATATAAATTTATTTTCTAGGTTCACGTACACTCCCTTTTGTCTAAATTAATTTTCAAGATCATGTTCGTATAAATTATTATTTTTATATATTCATTAATTCAAATGATTTAAAGTTCATGTTCATGAGCATATTTGATTGTTCCCATGAATGTCGGATGTAAATGAATTAATCTCTCAACTATTTAAATTATAATCACAAATTGGTTTTTATTTCATTTCAATCATCAAATATTTTATTCGCCCGCGTAATAGAATCAAATGTTATAAGAGATTTATCGGTGTACGAAAATTAATGATCCACTGGACCATTATACCATAGAGAACGAAAGTGATAAAGTATTTCCCTTGTGTGGTGAGACTTTAGTTTTAATGAAAAATCTTCTAACTTTAACAATAGCGGCACCACATTTTCACTTTCCAGTTATCAACTTGACCCCGTCTTGTTTTACTATCAACCTTATGGCTGTGGTATTAGATTCTCGTGGTTCGTTTAAAGGTTCTTCCCTTCAACTGCTTAGATATTGCCATTTTCAAGTTCTTTGCTAAACTGTACATTGTGGACATCTTCTTGGATAACAAAGATGGGTTGATTTTCGTGAAAAGGTTTTTTGGTCATTGCTTTTCAGGGAGAAGGCATGTTGAAGTTTTTAGGTACAGAAGGAAAAGGTATTACCATGCTATAGCAGCCGGGGTTAATGAAGGAGCTCAAGGAAGCATGATACGACAAAACCTCACCTCCATCTCTACATAAAGAGGACAAAAATAACATGGAGTGCGCAGAGATCTTGAATTTGCATGGGCTCCGTAGTCTATCCAAAAATCGGCAAAAAATGCAAAGAAGACATTTTCCTCTTGAATTTCCTGTACTCATAGCACATCTCAAAAATCGGAGATTGTAAACTTTTTGGAGATTTCCATGTTACAGATTATAAGATACATATGGGAAAGCTGCAGGAGAGGCATACGAAGATTTTGCCTCAAGTGAAGAGTAATAGTTATAAATATGTAGTTGAAATTAAGCCGCTGTTTGATGACTATTATTATTTGGGAAAAAAAATAGAGATTTTTAAGATGCATGATTAAAAAATAGAAAAAAATTTAGTTTACGTGCAAAATATTTTATTGTGTGAATATATGGTTAAAAATAATTATGTAGAAAAAAGAGTTTGAAAATAATGATAGTCAAACAGGGGCTAATGTTTGACTTTAATTAAATTTATAAATCATTTATAAATTGATCCTCAAATGGAGGCTAAACTTTCATTCGGCTCTTCCGCTAGGGATTTGATATAAGAATAATGCTAAGTGTACACAATTTTTTACACAATCTTTTACACCTCTCTCACATAGAAGGGGGTCCACACATAATAAAATAGTCGTGGACCCCCCTCCATGTGAGAGAGGTGTAAAAGATTGTGTAAAAATGTGTGTGTACATGTAGCATTACCCTTGATATAAAGGAAGGTGGTCCACCTGGCTGAGATTTTTACGTCTCATTTATAAATTGATTCTAATGCTGATATACCCAAGAGAGTGGAGAGATTGAGGCTAATTTGGTGGGCCTATTAGCGGCCCATTAGTGTTAGGACAGTTGGATAAATATGTGGTTTCTAATTTTGTAGGCCTTTCGGCTTAGTGGTGCTTATTTGATGAAGCAGACTGGTGGGCCATGAGAAAGAGGTGAACCAGCCTGCAAATGATTAGAGTTTAAAGGCCCACTTATAAGTCTTCACATCTCTCTCTTAAGCCAGCTGGTTGTACTATCGGGTCCATGAGTGGCTTAGCAGTTTTTCACATGGGCCTTACTGGCCAATAATTGTAGCTGCGGGCCCCATGTGTGAAACCCAGCAGGGCCACCCTGTACTTGTGGCATCGTTATTCTATTTTTTATTTCACCCCTCTCAAAATGAGACTCTAATCCTAATCAATGAGCTAGTAAAGCTCCGTTACTATCGTTTAAGTTAGGTCTTGATCTTCAGATGAAAAATGAGTTGTTTGGTACAATTCATTAAAATTCATTTTTTCGCTAAATTTATTTTCAACAAAATAATTTTGTATGTGAATCCATAACTTTTCTCTATTTCTCAACTACACATGTTTCAAATATATTTCTTTTTAATTTTTACAATACTTATTCTTAAAATTTTTACATCAAACATGCCTTTAATATTTGATTATTACTGAAATTTATTTGCAAGGGTTAATAGCACTTTTGGTCAATTAACTTTCAATAAAATCTCAATTTGATTATCCAACTTTAATTTGTTTCAATTAAATAATTAAATTTCAATTTACTTTCAATATTAATCCCTCCACTAACCTCAAGTAGGGATACTAATATGGCTTGTCAGCTCGGGGCTCAGCCCAGTAAACCCCCGAGCCGGCTCATGACTAGGTGAGACCGAGCTAGCCAGTGGCTCGATCGTGACGAGCTCGCTCGAGTCTTAAAAAAAAAATACAGCTTGTTTTTATTGTTTAAAAGTTTTTTTAATTTTAGCTATATTTTTTTATATTTTAATATTTAGTTAATATTTATAATACGTATAAATTGCACTAGATTTTAATTTATTTTAAAAAATTAGATTTATAACAATTTTTTAAAAAAAATTGAGCTGGCTCGGCTCGCTAAGGCTCGAGCCGAAAGTCGAGTTGAGCTTAAATCTTTTGACCGAGGGCTCAAATTTTTTGGCCGAGTTTTTGCTGGCTCAGCTCGAACCAAAAAAAGTCTGAACTATTTTTATTCGAGTCGAGCTCGAGCTTCGAGTTCGGCTCGTGACTCGGCTCAACTCAACTCGCTGATACCTCTAAATTGAAGTGAGGGATTATTTCACTAAGATTTTGATAAAAGTATTTTTTTAATCAGATTTTAATAAAAATTAATGTAATGTATCGTTAAAAAGTAATAAAAATTGTCGATTTTATAAAATGTATAATCACGATTGAAAAAATTGTAACATTTTTATCACATAAGCACTCAATTATCCATAATTTCATGTTGACCGGTTTCTAAGTAACATGATAACACTGTCCTATCTGGCCTTCGGTCGTAGGTACAATAAAGTCCCGTCTCCTAATTGAAGTCGATCCAGCTGGTATCTTATTGCTATGTATTTACAGAAATAAATTGCTGTAAATACAGTTTGACCACTATGCCCATCTGCACACTTTATTGGCTCTTTTTTTTTTTTTTCCTAAACCAATCAATGCACTTTACTCTTTGGCCTTTTTCTTTCAAAGTGCACAATGACTTGAAAGTACAATTTAACTTTTAAACTTTTAAATTATACTGTATTTAATTGACTTTATTTTTCATGAAAAACATCATTTTTTATTCAAATTTCTATTTGCTTTTGATCATGTGACACTATTGTCCTCAAAAATAAGGAAAATATTTTGTTTAAAAAATTGTGATTTTTATTTTATACGTAATTCCCTCTCTCATTTATCTCTTCTCTCGTCTATCTATCAATAAAAAATGGATAAGTATAATTTTTTTAGGTTGAAAACTGAAACAATAAAATTATTTAATTAATAATTTACGTACAAATAAGTTCTTAGCAATCGAATAGTCTAAAACTTATTTTCTTTCTGCGCAAATTTCATTTTCGCAATCACACCCTAAAATCCGAACAAGCACGATTTTGCAGATGAAAATAAAACATTGTGAAAAATAAAGAATCAATTTAAAAAAAAAACTGAAACTCGATCCATAATCCATCCTCTATATTTATAATTTCTAACATATTGTAATATTTTTTTCTGTATAGCATCAACAAATCGATCAAAACCCCTAGAAACCTTAATCTTTTGCATGTCAAAATCAAACAATAATTTGACCATCAATTGTCGTTTTTCTTCTTCGAGTGACCCGAATGTAGCAATAAACAGCTGCAAAAATGGCAGTAACAAGGCCACCAATGATAACACCACCACCAGCTACTGATTTATCAGAAGAATGATGTACTTCATTCTCCTCCTTTTCTTCTTCTGGAGCCTCTGCTTCTTCTCTCTCCTTTTCTGATGGTGGATCTGCTATGCTTTTCTGCTCCTTCTCAAGCAAGGCTCGAACTCTCAGCCTCAGTTTTCTCTCTGCAATTACAGATCCACAATCCACTGCCTGAGCCATAAAGATTGTAGCAAGTAGTAAGAATAAAACCAGAACCAGGTGGAAGTGGTGGAATCGACCCATTCTAATTTATACTCAAAACACAAAGGTTAGGTTTTTCTCAAGAAAAATATAGAAAAATCAATCTTTGTATTTATGGGGAGATCTGACGAACTGAACTGTGTTTTGGGTGAATCCTAAGTGGTCTTCTAAGTTATATATATAGAGAGAGATAGAGTATCTGGGTTTGGGGTGGGATTTTCGGGGTGGAGTGAGGGGGGGGGGGGGTATGGTCTTGATTATTTGGAAATTCGTGTGGTTTGAAACTGGCAAGAAGGTTCACCAGTTCAATTGACACGTGATACCAATATTGGGTGTGCAACCATGGGATATCAGTAGCCCACATACAAGTCAAAACGCGGTCTAAACTTTTATATGATTCGTAACGTTGGACCTTTTGATCAACAAAGTGATCATTTTTATAGAGGATTCTTTACAAAGGCAATTGAAGAGCATACTGAATCAATATCGTTACGATCTAAACCCTATCGAGTAGCCTAAAATAAAAAATCAAGAACGTGGAACCCTAACAATTTAAAACTTGAACGCTCTATCGAAATCAAGATTAAAACATTTGATGCTTGAACTTTCAATTTAAATCGAGAATGAAACCACACAAATAGTCTCAATTTAAAGCTCCGGACCAAAACCAATTTAACCCAAAGGAAATATTAATAATTATTTATTTAGCTCAATCGAGAATTAAAATTAACTTTTTAGTAGATTTTAAAAAAATTTTAATTTCTATCGAACACAATTTATTATAATGCTCCAAGATCATAAATAAATAACTAAATATTGACTTTTTCAGTGCTTGTTTGGGAGGAATTTTTGGGGGAAGAATTGATTTTCAATAGTGATATGATAGGAAATATGTGGTTGAAAAAGAAGAAAAAATTATTGATATGATGGAAAATATTATTTTATTGAAAAATGTATGGTTGAAAATGAGAATTGATTTTCTGTAAAATTTTGAGAATCCCTCTCAAACAGAGCCTCATAAAGCCGGTGAATAGTAAAACATTAAAATCTGTGTAGACAAGAAAAAGCTATTTCGTGTTTCTCGTCGATATTGAAGTTGGACGGTGGAAGCGTAGCCAGCCAACTTTACACAAGAAAACAAAATTCAATTGCAAAGCACAAAATTAGAAATAGACAATCCAGTCAATCCCGCGCTTTGGGTTGTCAATGTGAAGTCGATTGGAAATCTATTATCCTCTTAATTTTCTTTTTAATACAATTTCGATATTTCGTTACATTATATCTTAATAACAAATTCGATACTTCGTTACATTATATCTTATTAGCAAATGGAAAATTGTAATATAACGTTTAATATTGTTAAGGGATAGAATCTCATATCGAATAAAAATGTAAACATAAATCAACTTATAAAGGATTGGGTTACTCCT